CATAGGAGGTTGAGGAGCAAGAAGCGAAAGAAGAAGCCTCGATTGCTGGTGAGGAGACAGGGAATGGTGTTTTAGTTCATGTTTCATGCCAGTTCACCCTACATAGGTTCAGATTCAGCTGGACATCAGTGCACCAGGTCATGTTTTATCCTATCGCCGTTTGCTAAGTCGCACTGCGTTGGTTCACATTTTGCTGGGTCTCATTAAGTGGGTCACAGTATCCCATGTCACAAGACACTGGGTTGCATTATGCCACAGATGTTCAATACCCTTTATTTCTGGACATGAATGCCATTTTTGCATGTTCGATTTTGGGAGCCCTAACGCCCTTTATAACCTTCATGACTGTCAGCATCGAAATTGATGGCTTACCAAGCGAACCTCGATTGTGCTATTGCGCGCTGTGTTGTTAGGTCATGCTGTGTAAGGATGTGCTCGGGTAAATTGATTCAAAATTTGGGTTGCTTTGGGTTAGTTTGCAATCTGCTGGATCGCACTGCATTAGGCCACATTGTGCAGAGTTACGCTGCACTAGGCCATAGGCACTAGGCTATTTGAAGGTGAAGTGCACCAGGCTACACTTGTGCTGCACTCAGATGTGATTCTTGTCCCTTCTACAGTCTCTTGATGTGTCAACTTCAAAGTGCATGGCACCCAAGCAGTAGAAAAGCAATATACAGGATGGTCAATTTTCGTGCAGACACAACTGGTAGGTAAATTGGATGCATTTCAATTCGATTTGGTTAAATAGTTGCCCTTGAAGACAGCATGGTCAATGCAAGGTTACGCCAGACCACGTATGTCCATTTACGACAGCATTCATTAGACATTTTATGGCTCGTGCCAAAAGTGCTGTTGTTGCAAAAGGGTGGGAGATTTTGTCTTTTCGTTTTCTGGGGGCTGCCATACACATTTCGCCATTGGCGCTGCCGATTATTGGCATCACCAGTAATTTACTTAATGTAACTGTGTGCTGTGTTGATGAAGACGCCAAGGAAGAGAAAGTCTCTCCTGAAGACGAAAGGGGACGGCGGACTGCTATCATCACAGGAGCAATATCAATCATCATTGGGGTGAGACGCGCGTTGGCATTCCTGTTTGTTTCTTCTTTTGAATTGTTGTTTAGTGTAGATCAGTTCCTCGATTCTCAGGAGCGCTAGTCAGGCCTATTTGCTGCCAAGTGGGTACAAAGCAGGACAAAGACAGTGGGTTCAGTGCTGTGCTTCGACTGAGAATAATTAGTGAGAAATAACATGACAGTTCTGACTGAGCAACTGTAGGAAAATGTGGTAATAAGTGAGCCGTAGTGGTACAATCTCCTGACGTGACTACAGCAACAGCTTGGAAGATCGCTATCAATTAGGTCACTCCAAATGTGGTCGACTGACGGCAGATCGCCAGCACTCACGTACACAAGATCATCATTCACTCATTTAGTGACACCAGCCAGTTTTCAAGACCAAATCTCATCCCAGAATTCATTGACAAGGTACAATCAATTTTCATATCCGAGAGTTGCTACAAGCGAAAAATTCGTTCTTCGGATCGGGAGTCAAGACAATGAAATCCAGCAAAGAATTTTATGAATCATATACACTTACTGCGTTTAGTCGATGCGACGTCAGGCGCATTGCGACGGCGGAAGGGCTTTTGAAACGTAGATGCGAGGATTGCTCCACGTCTAGGAGGGTACAGTTTCAAGTTTGGCATTTCCTTGGTTTACGGGGCTACTGAGTCTGACAGAAGTTAATGGCTGGACGTTCTTGTATGTTGTTTTGTCCTATTTGATGCTTTTGTGAGTCAAGTGTGCGTCGAACGACTAACTTTTATGTTCTCCCATGCAGGCAGTAAAATATATCAAATCAATTTAATGCTCACAGTACATCCTTCCTGTGCATGCTCTGTGTCGCGATGCTTGCGCCGATTGACGTACTGGCTGCGCCATTTCGATTATTCAATTGGTAGACTGTGTACGGAGAGTCTTTCTTGGTGACGCGCAGATTGGTGCAGGTTTCATAGGCTGTCACATCATTGTGCCATTCGTATCATGCACGATGCCATCTTTGTTTCCTTGTGGTTGCAGGTGCTGTACCTTGCATTGACACAGATTCTGGATTCTCGAGATTTTGTACCGGGGCCGACAGACTAGATGTCTGGCCGACGATGCCATTCACTCAAAGGGGGTAGGGAAGCTGCGATGTTTCTTTTTTCTGGTCATTCCAGCCTTGGCCAAGTCAGGTTATGATGGGAGTTGCACCCGATGCTGGGAGTGGCGGCGCTAATGCTTGGACAGAAAGAAATTCAAATGTTCGACCTTGAGACTTTGAAAAGTTGGAGTGCCCGTCGTTGTTGGTGAAAAGCTGGTGGTGGGCATGTCCCATCCAGGCGCAGAAGGACTAGCAAATGTTCCACCGCCCTCCACAGCGTCCAAGAGCCCGCATTCCACAGTCTGCATCTGTGCTCGAACATTGTTGACTTGTATGCTAAGCCAGCGGCGTTCGGCAGTGAGGATGGCTGTCCATTGATGTTGTAAGCGGTGTGAAACGGGAACACATTGTGTGACGCTGATCCCGTTGCCCGTTCCTTCTTTTACTAGAGACTTTCGCGATTCCCGCCATGCGGTCACGCAGTTGCCAATTCGTGGTGAATGCCCAAAGTGCACAGAAGTCGGCGCCTCATTGTCCATCAGAAATGACACCGATGGAAGAATGACTTGGTGTGAATAGATATAGAGCGATCACAGAAACAAAGTGCGGTAATTTGCATTCGGCATGGTATGAAATGATTACAACAGAAGTGTCTGTGACCTGATACAACGGCAAACAATGACCACCACATTGTCAGAGCATTTCCGTCAAGGTGTCACGTGGCAACAATCCCGCCAATTACCTTCTTGCCCTTCCAGCCAGGCACACAGAATGCACTGAAAATTTCTGCTATGTGAAGCCGCTGAATTCCTGTCCAATGGGCAGGCTGCGCATGTAATAGGGGCATTTGTGCCTGCACATGTCTGCGCGTAATTATTGTTCGCAGTCCCTGCCGGAGCACATTCCTCGCTCCAGCCGTCGGCACGCCTCTGCAGGTCGAGCCTGCAGTCGGGATTGCATGTCCGTCAGAGTCCATCTGTGAGTGCCACCGCTGATCATTGCAAAGTCGCAATCCCGGGTCTGCGGCCATGTTTCAGTCAGTTTCGACCTGAGTCCGTAGTTGACGCGCCCAAAACTGGAATACTCCTTCCAAATCTCCACCCACGATGCAACCAGAATATGAGCTTGGCGTCCGTGATACCGTGATACCGTCCGTGATACTCTCAGCAGAGGGTGATTCCCTCCGTTTCCATCCATTATCACTCACAAACTGATCCACAAATGCCCGCAGACATACTGCGGATGCTCTTACGAAAGCGGACGCGCAGCACGAGAGTCAGCGACAGTTCTGCATCGGCTGCGTCCATGTTCTGGCAGATGCCCAGGTTTACTCCCACGGACCATTCATAATGTGGGGCGCGGTACGTGGTATGATGAAGGGAAAAGAGGAAGAGGCGTTTGAAGATTGGAAAACTGGTGACAGTTCTACCGGTGTCAGTCTCGGTCCTTGGCTGCTCGTGTGAGATCTAGCAGCTCTGCTGCCTGGCGATGCTGCTGTCACGCACTGCCCTGCGACTTTAAAGCACTGACGCGGTCTGCGGTCGCACAAACTCGACAGGGGTACTATGGACGAGAGGAGTGCGTGCGCTGTTTCGGACTGAGGTTCGCTTGCTGCGGCTTTTGGCGACACCTCGGTCGGCATGTCGCTCATCGCCTCAGCCCATAATGGCACTTGCACCAAACAGCTCATTGCCAAAGATTAAGAAGGCTATTTCCTCACTGGGCAGAGTCAGCTTGGGTTATGAGCATCTGTACTGTCGGGAACCTTGACAAGTGAGCCCTTCAATTCCTCTTGATAAAATTGATGCGAGAAGAGTTTCAAAAATCTGGTTCTGAACATGTGTTCGACAGCCTCTGTTGGTCGTGAACAGCTGCCATGCTCGGTCGCTTTGCCAGCGGTGTGGGACAACACGCTGGACTAAACACTCTATAGGTCCCTGGGCCTCTCCTCCCTCGTGGATGATTACAACAGAGGGATTATTGGGGGCAGCGCCATCACTAAAACAGAATGGATGGAGAGTAGCGGAAAGACTACCAGTTATCGGACTCTAGACTCACCCACACCTCTCGTTCGCTGAACAGTGAAGAGAGATTGTGTTTGATGGTTGCTGTTGGCCGGGCATTAATGCAGATACTTGTACGTGGTACAGATGAGCATGGCGCCTACTTGGTATAGCTGAAATGGTGTGTTTTGCTTAGGGAAGACACTACGTCGATCTTGTTCCGCTTAGCGTCAATTTGACGCAAGGGGGGGGGGGGGGCCGCTGTGACGCTAAGAGATTACGTAATTGTAGCCAAATCGACATAAGGTGGAAATATGACTGGAAACGCTGCTGATCAGCAGCAAAACACTCGTGACTAGTTCCTAAACCTCCCTGAAATGTCCAGTCTTCAAGGAGGTCCTTATAGTGCATCAATTTGCAGCATTGAGGTTGCCCACCTTGCCTATAAAATAACAATTGTTATCCCAATTTCAGCCCATCAAAATTTGCGCGACTCTGAGCGTTTTTTCTTCTCAAAACCAGTTAGAAATTGTATTCCACTGTTAGGTGATGTTGCTCAATCATCCTGGCTTCGATACAAGGATTTACGCTGGGGGTGGGTGGGTGGGTGGGGGCTGAGCTAACGTCAAATTGATTCTAAGCGTAACAAAATCGCCACAGCGCCTTCCCTTAACGACCATGCACGAGGTCGAAGCACCAGTGAGATGCATCATGTCCGATGCCATGGCGAGGCCCCAGCGGTGCCCCAGCGTCAACTGCAACGGGCGCACTGCCCCACACGCAATAACTTATCACCAATGTGTGGGCGCTGTGGCAGCATCTCCCAAAAGGGCACGCTTCCTCAAGCGCATTAATCCGTTGTTCCATATCCTTTTCTCGCCTTTTGCCTTTCCTTTTTTCCAAACGTCCTGCCCCTTTTTTTTCCTTTGGACGACGCCGAGCGTTCTTCCTTCCGACCTCGTTTCTTCTTAGAAGGTTGAGACCGCCGGTGATGCCCGGGATTGGTGCCGCCTCCATTCAGTGTAGAAACTGTCGATCGGGGCTGCTGTCCGTTAGCCGCTGGGGCTGCCATCTTTTCTGGCTGAATTTCAAACCCTGAAACGCACAACGAGAACACGAGGCGATGAGGAGAGGCTTAGGCGCCGAGCGTACATTGTGAGGAACGGTCCAATGGAGATGGCGCTGCATATACCATTGCGTGGATATCGGCGCTGTCACTGATTGGGCATCAATTCGCTAAAGCTCTGCCGGTTCAACCAATCTTGATGATACGCTTCTCTCAGCAGGCAGAACATCTGGAATCATGGATGGACGGCAGTTGTTTACACTGATAGACTGGCGGTGCTTTTTGATAAACGATTCCAGATCATTCTTTACACTTTGGAGCCCAAACGCCACCGCCGTCCTAGCAGAAGAGATGTGCAACTTGTGCCACCCAACAAGAAAGTGGAACGCGAATTAAAGTCCCAAAAAGTGAGACCACCAATGGTAGCGTGCATGTGCTCCCACTAGCGATAAAAGGCAAACAAGCTCTTGACCGGTCCATGTGGCCCAACTCAACCAGCGTCGTGTGCTCATGGCTCGGGAACGTTTCAAACCAGATGCAGTGGAATTGGAGACTGCTTACATTCTGCTGCACTGATATTCGCCCGTTCTTGCACACTGCGCTAGCTTTTGTACAAAAATATTTTTCACATCACACAGTGCATAATTGCTCACCTCGGGTAGCCTGTTCCAGCCTTTGCATATAATCTTCCATTGTCTCACCTTCCTGAAACAGGCCCCCAAATCCCCCATTTTACACATTTTCTGCGGCGTTTAACCCGACTTAATTGCCTAAGATCCAGCATCAGCCATGTTAATCCAGAACCATATCATATACATACCATCGCGCTTGGGTGTTTTGACCACCACCCCGCACACATCCACAACAACATAATCAACCCATCTTTCCGCTTGTGCTGTGTCAACTCCGCACAAGTGCAACTCTGTTACGATACTGGCACGTAATGCACCGCTTTCCGAATTGGCAGTACATCACATCCAAAGATTCGAGACAAAAGTCTGAAGTGCAAGCCACTGCAGCTTGTGATTGTTTTGCCAACCAAAAACCCAAAGCCCGCCTGACCAGCCTTGAAGACATTAGCGTGCACCTCAAGTGCATATTGACTGCTTGAGTCACACATGTGCATACCAAGACAAGGCTGAAACGGTGGGGGTGGGTTACTTTTAGCCAGAGTATGTGGAGACTCCACATCAAAGAGCAATTGTCAAGCATCCGAACAAGTCCCAGAAATTTCTAGTCCCCTGGTTATCAGCATTGTCAGCATCCAAACAGGCTCAGCATCGTCAACAACAAGTTGGAGCGCATTTAATTTGTCCACTGTTGTGCGGCTAGTGCATAGGGCAGTGGTGTGGTGATTCCGGCATCTGCAACTAATCGATGACATAAAATTTAATGGCTGACCTTTTCATTTGGCATCCTGCCTGCCAACTCAATGGGATCAGTGGGCTCCCTGCAATTCTCTGGGTCCCATGCATTCATCTTCTTTCTGTGGTTCTGCAGCGCCGAAAGAGGGAGACAGTCGATCAGAAGAAAATGTGGCATGCTCAATGGGTGCAAGAATGGTTCTTACCATGTTGTGATTGGTGCAATCAACCAATTCTTTAGATCAGGGGACAGCATCTTCATGATCCCATCAACCAATTGCCTATTCTAGTGAATTCTTGATGTGCAGGAGTAGAGAAGACCATGATCTACTGCTGTGCAGGCAACAGCCACAACAGCCACCATATAATTCTTCAGCATCAGTGACACAGTTGCCATGATGGTGAACCAGCACTAAAACACGGGGTGGCCAGGTGCATACTTCAATTCCTGCAAGAAGCGGCTCATGGCTGTTAAGGAATTCTTTTCGTGCAAATCCACAACCCTGGATTGTTGTTGAACTGCTGATATTATAGGGCTCTGAGATCATTGTGCGGGATGTGGGTTTGGGGTTTGTGTGAGACTGAGGGCCGCAGCATGATATGATGCCTTGCAGTGTTGACAGACACGATGTGGTCGTTGGAGACAATGGTGAAATGCAGCACAGACAACTGAACTTGTCATTGTCTCTGGTTCACTGGAAAGAAACCTCTCCCTTCATTTACCTTGGATGCTATGTGCTGCCTGAAGGTTAGCGCCCCAAGGAGGAGTCTATCACAAAGTGCGCACCGCAGCGCCACACCCTGGAAAGTGGGCATCGGCACAGAAATATGGTCAAACAGAGGCAAATCAACAGATGAGTACAATCTGTTTTCTTTTGGTTGTGGATCTTCCGATGTAGTTGACAGGTCGTACTTTGGAGCACCCCCTCCAAACAAGCATACAACTGGCCCTGCTATGCATTGCAGCACCCTTAGTGTGCCTGCTCACAGGAATGAGGTAGAAAGAGCATATCACAGTGTGTGTGGGTGTATGTAGGGGCAGGGAGAGAATGTCGGAATTAGCAAATAACTTTAATGCACAAAATCGCCCATCGTCATCTTCAAAGTGCAAGACGCCAAGAGGCCATTGACAGCAGAGGGACTGCGAGAGTAAGGCAGGCCGATGTCAAACAACATGCACACCTTCACTGATTCATCCTTTGATGCATCCATCCAGTCCCTAAAACCATCCCAAGCAGTCAATACAACCACCCTCGAGCACAACCCCACAAGTTTGTTGCATTTCCCTCCTCAACACCACAGTGGCAGTCACTGCCACCTCAGTGCACACCTAGGCTCAAGAGTAGCAAAAACAGGATTTGCTGAGATGTAACAATGTACCGCACAGAGTCAGCACTGCTTGCACCAGTGGCAGAGTAACTCCTGTTTGCAAGGATGGTCTTGTCACAAGGCAAATGACAAAAAGCATTATCTGGCACTGGTAAATGACTTGTGCTGTTGCTTTTGCGGTAGTCTTGAAGCATTACACACTGAAGAAGGGAGAAGTGGGTTCATCACCTGGGGTGAAACCTTTCCCAACTCATCCAAATTCGAAACTCGAAATGGCCAAGTGCTGGCAAATGGCATGAACGAGCAAAGTTAAACAGGCACTGCTGTGTTGCCAAAAGTGGATAAAAAAAGTGGATAAAGATTTTTAGCAGTGTCTCCCATGTTCTGGGCCCAAGTGAACATCCTCCATGAGCGATGATGAAAACTAACCAATTCTTGCTAGTCCACCTGCTTTCCCATGCATTGCAGAGCATGCCTGCTCACCGTTCATATACCAAACATTCCTTCCAGTGTGCCACCGCAAATCCAACAGGAAAACAAGAGCCGGCAGCACCAAGAGACTTGTGACACGAATGCATATGAGCCTCAGGAACAGGGAAGAGCAGTAAAAGGAATTAACAGGCTTCTGGCGTTGGGCCAGGCCTTGAGCCAGTTGATTCAGCAAGCGATTTTCTTCCCTTGGCTCTCGTAGGCTCAGCTTGCTGGGTTTTGTGAACTGAACTCAGGCTATTCATACACTCGGCTCATCTCCGAAATAACCAATTCTTTTTGCTGAACCAGTCCCAATACACGATCTGAGCCAGGTGAAATACATGGCTAGCTTTGGGGATGGAGATCGCAACATAACCCTTGGGCAATGCAGTGCTTTCTATTCCTTCAATAACTGCAGTCAGAGGGCAAAAATCTGGCTTGCAACACCTCAGCAAGCAGTCACAAACATTGCAGGTGTATGGCATGTGAAGAAATGACAGACTGAGGGACAGACAAAAGCTTTTTGGATACATACATGCCCATCATCGCCTGCAAATTGTAAGGACTTGGGTGTGCCATGTAAAGGCAAATGGAACCAATGGGACAATTGGAATTGAGGAACACATTGATGGGGTGTTCCACATACCGTATCACACCCTCGAGCTCCTCTTCTGTGTCCAATTCAATGATGTCATCCCCAGAGCCACCGCTGTCCTCCAGCAAAGATGTACCCTCTTCGCTGCTACCCTCACCTTCTCTGTCCTCATCACTCAATTCACTGTCACTGTCTATGGAACACAGGTCAACTTCAGCAATCAAGGTTCCTCAACTGCCATGCAAATAACAAGGGTCGGGGTGTCTATGAGACTGCAGTGTATTCAACCCTTCTGCATCCTCACAAGATGCTTGGCCTTCTTATGGAAACAATACTGAAAACCATATTAGTTGTCATCAACAATGTGGCCCCAACGAAGAACATCGCACTGGTCAGCTCTAAGTTATCTTACAGAAGCCAAGCCTCCACAGAGCGACTGAACAGCACCCAAAAGATGTCTCCAAACTGTCCTTGGTGCATCTAAAACGGCCCATGCCCAGCCAAGAGGTCCTCCTAAAAATGTTTGTAGCATCTGGTAGGCCTGGAATCGCTGTCCCAAGAGAGAAGGTATTTGAGGCAATGAGAACTGGAAGGAGCTGCCAATCCGGCAGTGCCCAAGAGGGAAAGCTACGGAACAGGTCACACGGCAGGGGAAGAAATAATGGGCATATGCCAGTGCCATTGCATCTCCAATAGTGACTGCCCACAAGAGAACTCGAACTCATGGTCTGAGGGTGCGTCTTTGTGTCTTGGGTGCCCACAACAAGGGGGCATTTGAAGGCGGGATGTGAATGTGTGCAAAGCAGGGAAGCCAGGATATTGGCTGCAAGCCTTCCCTTGCAGCCAATTTTCTTTCAAAGCAAAGCAACCACGGCATTGTTGCATGCAAGCTGAGCCCATTAGAATCGGTGCAAAGCACAATAAAAAGTCCAACAGTCAGGAAAAGTTGCATATGCACAACCACAACACTCAACATAGTCGCAAAGTTGAGCATTGTGGAAGGTTTAGCATACCATAGTTCTGTGAGCCACAGGCCCTTGCCTTCAGTTCACAACAAGCTCATAACCTTTAAGATCGGCCCGGTGTTGTTGCTGAAGTGACATGTGCAGAAGAGAAACCAAACAAGAGGAAAGCAAAATTGAAATGTCAGGGATCCCAAGTTTGATGGCTGGACTGTCACCAACACCACCCGACCAAGGCAGCCCCAGAACTGGTCCTATCAACGTGTTAACTGTCATGCTCAAATGCATGGATTGCACGTGCATGCGCACAAGATAAGGCAAGGCTGTTGCACCATGAGAGGCTGAACTGAGCTGATATTCCTTGCATGCTGCATGGAGCAGCACATATTCAAGCCATGAACCACATCTATGGCAAGCATCAACTGCAGGCCATGGTGAGCATGGCTGCATTGTGTTGTGACGTGGATTCCGCCAAAAGTCATAAAGGTTCCCAGTGCCAGGCGGTCTATACCTGAACTTTGGAATCGAAAGGTGGTTTAGAACCGAGGACACTGAATTGTTCGTTGCGAATTGCCTTCAAAGGACAAAGCAGGGCCCTGCACCGTGCAAATCACGATGGGCACAGACACAACCATTACGTCCCTCAGTCCACTCAAGGGGCCCTTGAAACGCCCACAAACAAATGGCGTCCCTCACCCCCACCCCACCCCCGCCCCCACGAACTCGCACACACGACATCCGAGATGGTTGGAGACATGCCGTCCTCAAGAGTGTTGCAACTGCGCATTGCATCCATGTTCATCCACCCATGCAGCTTGATCGACGACAGCAACCCATGGGTGGACATCAGAACGCCTCAGGACAATCGCCCCATTACTGTATGCAGACCCAGGGAGGTTTCGGCGAGGGGATTCCTGCCCGCGATTGGTTCTCACCGTCCTGGTTGTCGCGTGACGGCACCCAGTCGCGCCGCTTGAACATCGACCCTCGCTTGAGCGGCCCGGTCGCAGTGTCGCAACGGGCACCGCCGTTCCTAGAGAGAGGGCACGGCCAAGAGAACGAACCCGCCAAGTTAGCAGTAAAGTCGGCAAGCGGAGCAGTTCCCGCATGGACGCGCCCAGACGACCTCCGGGCGTCTGCTTCGAAAGAATGGCAGCCTGTCGCACCATCCTCGAAAATGGGGAAATAAACGAGAATGATGTTCTAAGATGAACGCAGATGAAAGACGTTTGGATGGGCAGTGTCACATCAGCAACAGATGACGACCATTTAATGCGTTTGCAGCTGTGGTACTCCGCGCGCTCGACCACAGAGCCAGCATGAGCGGTTTCCCAATACTCCCGTGGAGTTGGTTGCATCTAAGGAGAAAGACAACACTACACTTGGTACCATACTAGACGTGGCCGCTCAGGCTTTTTTTCTGTTAATTTACTTCTGTACTTTTTTTGAACACAAACAATCCGTCCGTCAATTTTCCGTTACTTTTCCGGGGCCGGGTTTTTGTAGCCGTTCATGCCACATCAGCTTTCAATTTTTTGACTCTGGAGCTGTCCGTCAAGGGGGTGTTTGTAGCCACCGGTTTTTGTAAAAGTGCTTTTTTTCTGTTGCCTTTCTTGGCATTCCGTTGCCATCCGTCAGGGACTTGGAGATTCCGGTAGTGTTCCGGTGGTCAGCGGCAATTTCTGTTGGAGGCAATTTTTCCAAGCGGATTTTTTCTCTATGCCCAGCAACCTTTGCCTCTACATACAGGCCACAACAGTGATATAACGAGGTGCAATATTAATACATGTATGAACAACGCATGTCTACCTATTTGCAATCCATGCCATTATAAATGCTGCCTCGGCCAGTACTCCTTGCGAGACCGGGGCCGCAACCCGCTGTTCTTTCCCAGCCATCCCTTGCCAATGCTAGACTACATTTATTAATACAACCTACTGTAGACGAGGCGTCTGGCCGTCCGGTCCGGGAACGGGACCCGCTCTGCGGCGATTATCCATCACCTTTGCCAAAGCACATTGTACTTTGTACTTAGTACAGGCGTCCGTACTTGCTCCGTGAACTTTGATGGAATTCTGTCGACCTCTGTGGTTTGGTCAACGGTTCTGTCATGAGGGTCTGTCATCCGTCGGCTACAGCACAAATTCTGTAACCCGTGGTTCTATTCTGGAAGGCTGTGTGTATTTTTGTAGCCGTCTATACTGACGTCAGCATAGCCCCGCCCATTTCTGTAAAATGCTTTTTCTCTCTGTCGCCCGCTCACAAATTCTGTTGATTGTACGGAATTTTTACAGAGCCAACCAAGTTCTGTTGTGGACGGACAGAGGGGGCCACCTCTATACCATACGCGCAGTCGTACAATTGGTGGTAAGTGAAGTCCCACAAGCGGACCTGCTGCCCTTAGTTATATAGATAGCAACACCTTTGCAAAAGGACGGCGGTCCATTCTGGCCGTCATCCCCGGAGATAGCACAGTCTAATCACCCCTGAACGAGCAGCTGAGCCACGTCGACAGCTTCAGCACCACGCTAGTTAAGGGTGCATTCAACAAAAGAGCTTTGCCCCTTGTGCAAACCGGCTCTTCATGAAGAACTGCTTGTTGCGGCAATGATAATTGATACAATGTATAGATTAGATGACTTTTGATGATATTTGATTGTGTTGTGGACCTTCTGAGTGGTCAAAATGATGAATGTGTGGTTGTATGGACAATGGAACGATTCAATTGATTGTTGTATCATGTACTTAATGTAAGACCACTCGGGAGCATTGTTCTCCCGTTCTCATTCCCTGTCCGCGTGTGAGGGGCCTTCGGCCCCGTATCATTTGGTTTCGGAGCAAGGACCGTTCCGACGGCGGGGAGAGGAGTGCAACCCCGAGGGATGGCAGTGCAACGGCACTTCCAGGTCGACGGGAAGCCGGTGGAGGAATCCCGGCTTGATTCTGTGGAGAACTGGGTCTGATCCAGCCCGACGAAGGAGAATGGAAACGGCGGAGGTGTGAGGACGATGGCATACGGCACAGAAGACGAGCAGCCAAAAAGATTGGTGCTGCGGAAGGCAAGGAGGACTGTCAACAAGGCTGCGTGGCAAACGGCACGAATTGCCGCTGCTGAAGAGGCACAAACGACCAGACAGCACAAGGATGCTACACTCCGTGGAGTGAGCGAGGCATCCGAGCAACAGCACGGTGCTGCGGCAAAACGAGTGATGCTGTCTCAGCTGCAAGGAGCCGGGGACGTTCCGCGGGAACTTCTGCATTGGCGTGGCGCGGAATTGTGGTCCACGGTTCGGAGAGCTGGGAGTGTGATGCCGGCGATGCAAGTGTGGGGCCACAGGGAACCTGGCAAACAAGTTGTGCTGGCTGTGCTGTGGTGTTTGGAGGACGAGAGCTTGGTGTTGGAAGGTCTCAGAGAACAGAACGATTCGTCTGGAGATGCAGCTGTGCGGATGCAAGGCGAGAGCAATCCCAAAACTGGGCATGGAACGCGGAGAGAGGCACCAAGTGAGTTGCGGCACTGCCTTGCAAGCATGCCGTTTTGGCAAGGCTTGGATGGGCGCATTCGTGCGGCCTGAACGCCTAGAACGGGCAGCAGGGAAAGGCCCGTCGAGTTGGTGGCGGGGGATGCGCCATCTGGCGGGTTGCCTGCGGCCGGAATGCTCGCGGAGTGGCCGGTCTCCAAGGTGGCCGGCATGGCGACATGCTTTTCAAGGAGGCCGCCCGGATTGTTGGAGATGGGCGCAATTGCAAGGCCAAGGCGCCCAGGGAGAGGCGCCAAGGACGGCCCATCGCGGCGGCAACGGGGGGAGCGCCCATTCGAGGCATGCTTGCGGCCGGCGGGAGGCGGATCCCGTCCAGTTGGATGCGACCCGCGGCATGGACGCCGAATTGCTGTGCGGATCGGCGATGGCGAGCTTGCCCACACCGGTGAGAGGCGGCGCGCCTAGCAAACGAGAAGAAAGGGGTGCCGCACCGGCGAGCGGCCTGCGCGGTCCGTGCCGCGGAAGCCGGGCCATGGAGGCCGGTTCCGGGCACCATTCCGCGGGCCCCGGCGATGCATCGACGCCGCGGGATTGCGCGGCGAATCCAACGCGACGGGCGGATCCGGGCCGGCAAGTAGGGCGCCCTTGGCCCGCGTTTGCTCGAGAGTGAGACGCCACGGCGCGCGAGGGAGCGCCGAGGTCGGTGGAGGCGCGGAGAGTGACCCCGGCAAGCTGGAACTGCCGAGAGGGGGACGGAGCTGAGGGAAGCTGGGTGAGTCAACCTGACCGCCCGGTCATGTGACAATCCCGCGCCTGGAGGGCGTGTCATGTGACAATCCCGACAGCAGGAGGCCCCAGTACATTGAGCGAAACCGGAGAGGGGAACAGCTCCCTGGCCAGGAGCTGCAACCCAACGGAGAGAGCCTGTGCCCCAGAGGGAAGCTATTGGAGGCCAACCCGAGGTGCTTATGTACTGGCCCCTAAGAAGGAAAAAGGGAGACCCTAAAGAGGAGAAAAAGGAAGACAAAGGAGGATAGGTTAAATTCCTTCATTGTTTCCAATTCCGTCGCCAGCCTCTAAGGAGTGGCTCAAGGGTACATCAAAAAACCCTAGCCTGTGGACAGCGATTCTTTCAACGCCGTGGAACAGTTGTGGAGGATTTTTAAGCCTCTCAACGGGTGGACAGCGATTCTACACTCTCAGGAGCAATAGTGGAGCATCTCTACAGGCGAGGTTGTCGGTAGCCTTAGGGCACCGGGGACCGGTGGAGCGACCTTCGGGCACCGACCAAGAGCAAGACTAGAGCCATTGAATCAACCCTTCCAGAAGCATTAAGAGATAAAGGTGCAAGTCTCTAGATTATGGGGAATAGAAAAATGTGCCAGAAATCGTTCTCAAGCCTGCTGTACTAATCTTCATTGTGGGGAATAGGTTTCTTGAAAGACTGTGTTGTGGTCTTAAAATCCTGTGGATCAGTGTAAGTTGGAGTTGGAAGAATAAAACCCGGGAAACCATTAGGGGAACCGTGGCCATGGTGGTAGTGCAAAGAGGTTGTGCAGGGAGCAGGGCTGAGGGATTCGCCCTAATGTCATTCAGTGTTGTACTATCCCCAGATAGGCCGTTGGATGCAGAAGATCCTTGGGAGAGGTGGGACACGCTCGGTGGTGTTGTGATGGTGGGTTTGCATGTTGATTTGTGAATCCAGAGGTCTCTCACCTAGGTAGTTCGCAGAATACTCACACTGCAGAGCGTGATGGAGCTGGTGGTGCTCAATGAGGTGCTGTTCTGATCATGAATACTGATTGTGCCCTTATCAGTATGCTGTGTACATAGGGCAGCAGCCAACATGATCAGTTGTGATGGTGATTATTATTATTATTCTTTTTGTGGTAGTCATGATTGAGGACATACCAGTAGATAGTTGTTAACAGCACGCAGTTGTGGAGTACGTTGATAGTGGAGACTGCACTGAGGCACTTCTGAGATCAGAGCTTGCAGATGTAGAAATATCTGATGGAGAGTCATGGAGTGGTGGCAACTGCCAACGGTTGATGCTAGGAGGATTCAGCACACTGTTGAGGCCTTTTAAGGTGGTTGAGTTTATTCTCCAGTTGCCTTAGAGCCATTGTATTGGCATGTCCATCATACTTTTGCTGCTGGTAGCCTGGTGAAGTTGCGTGCAGTGAATGGTGGGCCCATTGTGTCTTCAACCCCAACCACAAGAGAGTTAATGGTCAGGTAGTGCACGGTGGCTTAAGTGGGAACATAGTTGCATGAAGCCACCAGGACGATAGAGGCCATTTTTTGAATGACTATCTAGATCTTTGAGGAAATTACATTCTGGGTCATTCGACAAGACATTGTGCATTGGATCGGACTAACTGAGAGTCAGAAGTGATGGACTGGGTGGCGGACTGGAGAACAGTCACTGATAGCAAGTTTCTATTTAGATTGAGTTGTGGTATGGGACACAATAGACTTGATCTTTGTGAGAATTTT